AAAGGTTAACACTCCAAGTCTGAAAGTTCCATAAACAGTTTCCTTCACAGAAATAGGATTCAGGATATAGCCAAAGCCCTAAGGGTAATACTGTTTTAAAAACAACAGTACATCAGATTCCTAGAAAGTCCTATTTAGATGGTGCCTCATATGCATGATCTCATCTGACCCATATCTCTATACTGAAAGGTAGGCAGGAGGTACAAGTCCTCAGATAATGTCAGTTCTTTCAGAGTTGTGTTGTTTTTACTATACTATTGATGAGGGGGAAAAAACAATTCCCAGTGGGGTCATTGTTTGTATGGAGTTTGTACATTCTCCTTATGTTGGTCTGGATTTCCTCCAGGTATTCCAGAAGCCTCCCACATCGCCGAGATGTGATGTTCACTGGCATGTCTAAATTGTCTGAATTAAAGCAAGGTGTGTATGTTGTGTGTGCATGGACACACACACTCTCAAATAGAAAGGATTCCTGTACAAATCTGATTCAGTTTATAGCTCTGAAGTGATGGAAGTTGGTTGGAAAATACAACAAATGTTACCTACAACTCTGGTGGGAAATGTTGATAGTGGAAGAAAGTGTGTATGGGGGTGATTTGGGGGGACAGGAGTGTACGGGAACTCTGCCCTTTCTGTTCAATTTTGCTGTTAACAAAACTATCTTAGAAAATAAGTAAATAAATGAGTAGAACAATATTGGGGTCTTTCCTTCCTTGTTAGGTTTTATTCATTTTTATAACCTATAACATTGATAACAAAATAATAGGAAGAATTATATCACGGTTAAAAAAAAAAACAAAACCTTTCAAAACATCATCAGCATAAGTATAAACTTACTAGTAGTGTTAAGGGGAAGGAGGTCCTAAAGGAACTCTGCAGAGTCTTATGGACTCCAACCTCTTCTCCAGCTTTCTATTATGGACTCCATCCCCTACTCCAGCTTTCTACCCTGTAACAGTAGTAAATACTTTAAAATGTATTTGACTGTAACTAGTTTTCTGTGAAAGTAGGATCTCCAGTACTCTGAAAAGTTTTGATAGACATTGTAACTTTGGTTCAGTGGCAAGGTGAGCCTCAAATGTATACTTATTCCTCAAAACAAAAGTACCTGTATTGCTGTGGAATTTTATCCAGGATAATGCTGTAAGCTTCTCAAATAAAGGACAGAACTTAGCTCTTTCTGGGTCCTAACAAACCATACTTTAAACACACAGTATCAATGGTGGCTGAGAAATACATAATCCTACTCCATGGACATGTGTTCTCTATGCTAAGATATGTTGTCTTTTCCCACTACGTGTTGCCTCATGGATGATAAGAAATTGTATAACATTGGCTAATTAAATCATAAACTTAATCTAAGGGGTGTGTGTGTGCATTGTCAAGTATAGCCCACCTAAAACATTGCAGTTACACACTTACTTATTAGGACCACATATAGGTAGATTCAGAACACAGTTAAAAACTTTTCCACTAAGTTCAAGTAGCAACAGCTGTGAAAAGTTATAAATTAGTATTTTTAAGGTTGTTTGGAACAAAATGTTAAACCTGTGTTTTCCATCACATAGAAGACTAAAACATGTCTGTAGGCCTTGCATGAGATATGCAAATTTACATATTTTTACTTGGTAGCATGCAGCAACAAAGACTACATAGAAATATCTAAAGATTATGAAGTATTTATTTGTACTTTTGGCCCAAGCTACTTTAAAGACTTTACCCAGTAAATGAGATGATGTTGAATGTCTCCTCTTAGGTTATACTAATGCTTTCCAGTTATTAAAACTTTCTGAGAAAATGAGCCTACTGTTGTCAGTCATTAGTGATAAGGCACTGTTAAAAGAAACAGAAGACAACTCAGGGAAATGGAAAGATTATTTCCTGCTCATGGATTGGGATTATGATAAGCGAAATAAATCAGAAGGAGAAAGACAAATACGACATGGTATCACTTATGAGTGGCATATAGAGAAAACAATGGATCAGACAGAAACAAACTCAAAACTGAACTCTTGAAAGAGGACTACAGAAATGAAGTATTCAGGTGGGGTGTGGGGTGGAAGGTGAGAACAATGTGGGGAATGAGCACAAAGATCTACAGATGCTTCATTGGTTGAGAGAACTGTGGTTAGCAACACCTCAGGATGGGAATCATAGATTTCAAAGTGTAAATGATGGAAACTATGAACTTAATAAATTAAAAAAATTAAGTGCCTGATAAAGTTCAAATATAGTGCTATTTCATTTAGATACATATTGTACCATTATATATGTACGGAAATATTAGATGAGCTTGTTTCCAGTATTTTACCTGATGTTAATAAAGCCCATAAATATGAAGTAATTTCACGACCTCTGTAGCTTTTGTCAGCTATTTCACTTTAAACCATGAAATTTAAAAGTCATACCAAACATTTCTACAAATCATAACTTCAAGTGATACAAGAGTGTTAGTAGCAAGTATAGATGGCATATGGTTGTGTTGAATAATAACAGTGTTGACGTTATTTGACAGCATAGGTATTCCCCATGCACAATCCACTGTGTGCACAATCCACAATTCCACTGTGTGGAATACTTACACATCAATTCTGTAATGACTATTTATCTATACATCATACTCAAGGACTTAAGCATCTTACTAACAGTGGGAATCATCAAAGACCTAAACACTATTTTTAAAAAGTATATTTAGCAAAAAGAGACTAAATGGCAGCACAGTTTTGCACCTCCTGACTGTTAACACATGCAACACAAGTTTCAGTATGTTTTCAATTTTCTAGTTTTCCTGTGTTTCAAAAGAATGAAAGTTTTATTATGGGGATTACAAAATTGCACAACATTATGCAGTTTGAAATTTAACGTAAAGAAAAAAGAATTGAAGTCCAATGGCTTTATATCATTTTAAATGATTCTATCTAGAAGATGCAAAATTGTTATATATTAGAATTTTCTGGTCAATCTGTATTTTGGTAACTCTTAAAAAGAGTTAAAAAGTGCATCAAAAGGTATATATGAGAAACAGAAATACCGTATCTACATGGGAAAAGGCTGAATTGTTAACAAGGGTTGCACAACTGGGCTTGCACAACTGGATTGAGGCCTTTAGGAGTCCTAGGTGTCATCATACTTCCACTCTTCATTTTCCTTCCATTCCTATTACATGCAGACATTGCACCTGGAAACATGTTCTCCAACATAAAGCCAAATATTTTTTCTTTCTCAGACTCTTAAGATCTTTACCAGAGAAAAATGAATTTTACCAAAAGGCCCATGAGGACAAGGCCTGTTTTTATTTTCTACTCTCCTCAATCCTCAGCATTCAGTATTATGTCTGGTACTTAATAATATTATTCACTGCTTATAGATTGACTGAATGAAGTACAGACTTTTCTCAATATTTCAATCTACTTGCAATTTATTTTTTTCCATAGGAATACTTTGGCTACTCTAATGTTGCAAACTATTTTTGGCTTATTATTCAAAATAGATTACTAATACCACGAATTTTATAAAGACAAGGTTAAGAGCTAATGACCAAATTTAGATGACAAATGAAGCAGTAAGAACTGAGGGCACACTGGGTTTTCATATATGCTATCTAGTGACAAACACATAGTATAGATAGTATTTTCAAGAGCAAGTGGATCAAGTTGACTTTGGCAAGACTAAAAACCCAACTCTAAACAGGCAAATAAGAACAACTCCCATATTAAGTATACAATACTTATTTTTATACAAAAATTCCCAACATTTCCTCCCATCAGGGTTGTTAGTCCTCAGAAAGGATGGTTTCTGTCTGTCTTAGCAGTCTCATTGTCAATAACAGAATTCCAAGACTTTTGCTCCCAGGACTCCTTTACAATGTTTTTTCTTTACTGAGGCAACACTGGTTTATAACAGAATCGTGGAAGAGGTTCACATCTTCTCTGATGGACTTTACACTTTTGAAAATTACTGTAATTCTCGAGTTTTTGTTTAAATGTACTATATTTGCCATATTCAAAAATAAAATTGAGAAAAATCAATACATTGTACTGATTCACTTTAAAGTAACAAAAGCCCAGTATATTCCTTATGAAAAGTCATATGTTCTACCCCTCAAATCGAGTAAGAGCAATGTTTTACAATTTTGCAAATCTGTTTGATGGCGGAATTGAATGAAACTATCATTAGTATCTGCCTTTGACATGTTGCTTTAATTGAAATATTAGAAGAAAATCCTTCCTCACATGGAGAGAAAGTTGAAGGATGACTTTTGTGGATCACCACATTTGGCCTCAGAATTGTCCAAGGATCCTCAGTGTACACTTATCTGTAATACTGTCACAAAATACTGTTTAATGATGCTACCAAATTAATGAAAATTTAGAGAAAAAGTTCTCTGAGCATTCCCATATATCCAATCTTACAAATAGTTTGCATATTCATTTTATCTTCAACTGGTAATATTCCTTATACATGTACACTGTTTTTGTGTTAATTAAATGATAACTGTTTCAACTTAACAGGTTATTACAACTAAACTGAAATGCATATTGAAGGAACATAGTTTGATAGGAAGAAGAATAAAGAATGATAGGAAAGTATATAATTTCAAAATGTAAAAGAAGGACTAAACAGAGACATTTTACTTGAAAAAAGATCAGGTATAACCAAACCAGAAGCTAATTTGAATGCCATACGGGTTTCTTTAAAGCAGTAAATTCAACTGAAACACTTTACTGAACACATGTTGGGATTCTAATACTTTCAGTATTCTACATGTCATTTCTAATTAATCTATAAAAGCCACAGCAACACATTTTGTCTATTTTTACTATTTCTGCTTTAAATCTTAATAGGAATTAGCCAAATACCAAAGAAAATATCTTACAATACCAAAGTTACACTTTTGCTCTTTAAAAGTCTTATGTAAATTCAAAAACAAAAAAATAAAAGTTATATATTAGATTTTTGATATATTATGCCACTACTTTCCAAAGAATAAAGTTACTTACTTTTCCTTTTCTTGAAGTTGATGTTCCTGAGAAGCCATTTTTGGTCCTGTCCCAAGATTTTTTTGCATCCGCTGCCTCCTCTTTCTGCTTGGTGCAATATCAGTGACATCAGGATTCGAAATAATAGAATCATCTCTTAAAGTAGCTAAAATAAATTGACATAAAAATGAGACCAGGTAAAATTACACATGTAATTTTTAGGTAAAGCAACTTGCAGCTTTAGCAGCCATATATAGTAACATAATGAAAATATAACAAAACTTTGAAAAAGTATGTAGATTTGATGAACTAGAACCAAAGTTAGTGTATAATACTTTAATTTCAATAGAAGATAAACCATATTGTAAACACAGAATGATTTGATCAAAATGGCTTTTGCTTTTCTTGGGCAACAAATTTCCCAGATGTTTTATAAGTATAACTTGATGTTGCAATACTAGAAACAGAAAGCAGTGCCTAAGAATCACTTCTAAAAAAAAGTGTCTGGTAGAAAAAATAATGATTACTACTTCCATTTTTTTATTTATGAAGAAATCAAGGCTTTCCCAAATCACACAGACTCTGATTTTATATTTTGTTATTTTGAAAATTGAAAAATATTTGTTCTCAGTGGGAAAATTATCCCTTTATCAAATGTTAATTGAGGGCCCTCCCTGGTGGCACAGTGGGTTAAAGCCCTGCACTAAGAAGCTTAAGCCACTTCCTCATGAGTTCGAGCCCCGCCTGCCCTGGAGGATATCCACATGGCGTGGCAGACCGCTCCTGACCCGCCTGCTGCTCCCCTCAGCAGTGTACTTCATCAATCTGCCTGTTCTGCTCCCCACTCTGTCCCTGGTGAATCTTCTCACCCTCCACATCTCTGGCCTGTACCCCAGTTCTGTATGAATAAAATAAATAAATCTTTTTTTTAAAATGTTAATTGAATATCCTTCAAAGCTTATTTTATTTTCTAAAGCTGTTTAGAAAGTGCCAATGATTTCTTATACATTTTTTTAATTAACTCCTAACAAAGTATTGGGGATAGAAAGGATATTTCTCCAAATGCATACAAGCTGAAGGATTTGACATTTTTAAAACCTTCAGTTTTGTGATTTCTTACCAAGTGAGATCTCACCTAAGTTTACTTAATCACATAACCAAGTACATACTTGCTTAGGAACAAAATTAACCAAAGTGTCAGATGGCTATCATTATTTACTAAAAGAGCTAAGAGTCACATATGATCTCGTGTTACCAGTCAATTCACTATACCGTTTTTGTTTATTATGGCAATTAAATGTAACTTAAGTATAGCCTCTTTATAACACTGTCAATGGAAAAAAGGGTTAACATATCAGAAAAAAAATAGTGTTTCAATAGAATACATCTTTATTGGTTTGTGTTTGAACCATGGGAAACCATTTTCCCTTCACTATTGCAATAATAGTAAATTATATTGTATCAATTCTCAATATATTTACATATACCTTCAAAATAAAGTTTTGATAATTTTGATAATATCGTTAGCAAAAGGGAAAACATCTGAGCCCATCATTTCCTCTTCATCCCGCAGTGCCAGAAGCCAGGAAATTGAGGTGTTCTGCTAAACTAATACTTAGCATCTATGTATTAAAATATGGGATTTCAAGCATTCATCAATTTTCAAATAACTCCACTTCTGTCTACTTTTGCTAGCATTGGGTCAGTCCTCTCATTATTCCACTTGCTTGCAATGTTGGATATATCATTTCAGTTCTGACACAGGATGCTTTCAGCAATGATTTAACTTTTCCAAACAAGCAAAATTGCTTTATACACAACAGATGGGGTATGAATGAGCTACATCAGAGAAAGTCCAATACATACTCTTCCAAAATGTCTATTGTCCATAACTTTTCATATTATTAAGTATGACAACTCAACTTTTCACTTTTAAGGCTTGAGAAAAAAAATTAATTCACCTTAAGGTTGTTATACATACTCATCTTAGATATGAGGAAGGGCTTGAGTACAGTTGAAAAAGAATGACAAATGTAATACAAAGGTAATGAGTAGGAATGGAGCAAGGGTTTATGAGTGAGGGAGATGCAAGAAATGGGATTGGGCAACAGAAAAGGGAAAAGAATAAAAGAAGAGATAGGTTAAACACATCTAGAAACTTAAATCCAGGCATAAGAGTATGAATTTGATATTGACTGGGAACAGTTCCCCCCCCCCCAAGACTCCACCCACAGGATTCCCAGTTTTTAAGTGTCATTAGATTATCATGACAGTGACTGGCATCCATTTTCAGGCATTTTTAAAAAGGAAAGAAAAGAAATATTGTCAAGAAACTTACTACAGGTAAGCCATGACTGGCAAGATGACAGGATGACTTTAAGTGCTCATTAAGTTCACTGCATCCAGAAAACAAGGCATCTTTACAAAGGACTTGTTATTTGGAAAGGTGGTTCCATAAAAAGGCCATACTCTTCTGCTCTGACAGGTGAACCACAGGCACCTAGCAGTGGCAGGTCAGACATGACAGCAACAGAGTACTGGTTTCCCTAAATGATAATATTGTTGGCTAAACCATCAGCAATTTGTATAAATCCCACGAGTTAAAATACCTGGTAAAACTTGAGTCTCTGGCCATTAAACTCATACACCTCAATACTTATAAATTATTAAGTTTATAATTTGTTTTATCAGGGTTTCATTATCTCATGCCTAGTTTTTTCCTTATCATGAAACATATATAGTTTCACATGGAGAAGGTATCTACATAACTCCATTGGAGATTACCATCACTACCAAGCCAGAAACAAACAAATACCTATCTCCAGCCACTCCCAAACCAAATAAACCAAAAATGTCCTAAAGCATATTATTCAAGGCAATTGTTACACAGAGCTCACAGATTAAATTAGTGAATGAGCAAGGTTCTGATCATGGTCTCTGGACCATAAAAAAAAAAATGTGGGCTATTTGCAAACTCCCACATCAGAATAAAAAACTTAGTGGGTTCCCAAAGTTTGTAAAATTTTAATAATATAAAAGTTCTGCATTCAAATACCAACCAAATTGTGTCAAATTTGAAGTTAGTTTTGGAAAAAATATTAACATCTTAATGAGATTTTATTTTTATGTTTGTCTAGTAAAAATAAGTTACTACTCTCAACAGAAATATACCTGGTGGTTCAAGACACACACATATAAATTTTATACATTTATAAACATGAGATGTTTGGCTAAAAAAAAATCACATGATTGCATGGACACAAAAGCATAATTTCAACTAAGTGTAGTAGAGCTGTGAAATAGCATGCCAAATGTTAGATCATTTTAACAATATAGTACCAATGATAAAACAAAAAGTTGTATTTCCCCCCCCAAATTTGTAATGATTGTTAAAAAGTCAATTATTTCATTAGTACATATAAGCAGCATTCTTTTTCAATATAGAAAATGCAATAAATTTTTCTTTCTATATGAGGCTATCAAAGAGTATGTTGACAACATTCTAGAAAAAAGTCAAGTAGTTAACTATATAAAATATTAGACTAGTACTATAAACTGATGATGCTGATGGTATTCATAAGTTTTTAAGTATGTATAAGAGTTTTATGTTCTTATTTATTCTGGAGGATCATTTAGAATGAATAAACAAAAACAAAAACCAAATCCCACCACAGTAATCACCTGCCTCTCTAGCCATACCTGACATATATACTTCCACCTCAATATATAAACTATTCCAAGAGCTCCAGGATTCCTTCACTTTCTATTTTGTTTCTTAATTTTCTATTTTGAAGGTCCTTGACTCTTCTGTGGGCTCAACTGTGTGCTTTCTTTCCAAGCACAGCCCAATTCATTTCAGTCATCCTTTGTAGTTCCAATTTCTTGCTTACTAAGAACCACTCATATTACACATACTGTCTTGCATTGTTATTTTCTTATATATAGCTCCTTTTCCTCTGGGATTATGAACACCATATAGTGAGAGCTTATGCCTTATATTTTACTATACCCCCCCAACATATTACCCAGTTGCATAATACACGAGAAATACGAAGATTTAAACTCTTATCCTATTGGTTCCTATCATAACTTATTTATTTATGGATCTCCAGATTCGACTTTTTCCTAGACTTCATTTGGAAGTATGTTGTACTTTACAGAAATTCAAAATAAATAAGAAGTTTTTACTATGGAACTCATCTACTAATGCCTATATGGGAATTATTATGTATGAAGATTGTGCTAGTCCATCTTTAACAGTGAATAAGAGAAACATAGTCCCTGCCATAAAGGAGCTAAACTATTACAAGTGTGTCCAAACTAAGGATATTGTGCTTAAATATAAGGAACTACCAGAAGGAGTGATTGCATGGCTTCAGTTCAGGCATGATGCTTTATTTCCCTCTGAAACATCCTAAGAATAAATTTTAAAGCCCAATCATTTCTTGTCAGTTTTCTTACAGTGAGCTAGTGCTTTAATTTTCTCTTTTCAGAAATCTATTTTAAAGTATTCTCATACTGACAATTATGCTTTCAAGAGAAATAGCCATACCAGAAAAAAAAGAAAGAAATCGGATTATAATTAGAATTTGATAATGAAAAAGAAAAATGGAAACATCACAGATTAATTTGAAAAATGTAAAGTGCCTTTCATAGACCAGTCAAATTAGTTTCTTTATATTTGCTTATATGACTTACAGCTTTCTTGAAAATAGCTATAAGTTATGTCCAACTCCATCACAAACTTTTGAAAACATGCTATCTTCTGGGTAATGCCAGACACATAAAAATCACTCCATTAAATATTTTCTGAGTTCTTAGGACTTATAGAAGTTGATTACCATTAAAATTTTATGAAATAGTTTTTTTTTTAAATGGGCTGTTTTCTTGGTGTATAACAATATTTAACATATCCAATTTTTAAAAAATAATATAATAGTTTATTTTTACATCATTTTGTGTTTTTTTCCATCTCAGTTGTAATCCCCATGGGCATCCATCATCAATTTGTTTTTTAATGTTTGAATACTGCTAAAGCATGTATTTTATCTTTCGTGACTCTGACTCTGACATTGAGAACATTGGATTTCCAGTAATGAGTTTTGTGTTACCCAGTCTCAACAAGCATTTGTTACTAATTTTGACTTTTTAAGTTGTGCTGGTTAA